AAAAAAATATACCTACGAAGATCATTTTTTTAAAATTCGAACTAATTTACTGCATGCGGCCCACAAGTAATTTTCAAAAATTATTTTTTGTCCTTTCCAGAATCTTAAGGTGGGGAGGCGCCGTCTTGTACAATCATTAGACTTCAAAATAGGAATCGGTCCCACTATTTGTCAGATTGAATAAATCAAACGGTTCTAACCACATAATACCTACCAAAGAAAAACTGCGTAAAAAACTAGGCAAAATAAAATGCCTATAAACATCTTAAAAATATGTTCATAATATTGTAAATATGTTACCATATATATAAGATTTCTGTCAAAATTTTAAGTCTCTACGAATATGTCTAACTAAATTACAACAAAAAATTTAACAATATTTTCGAAAAAGATTCTCATTCTTTTTAAGTTTTTTCTCGATTTTCCTCAATTATTAAGAAAACTATACAGCAAACCAAATTATACATTTTTACCATCAACTAGATATAAAATGCAACCAAACAAAATCGAAAATAATGAAACTATGAAAATATTGTTTGCAAATAGAAAAAATATCATAAATCAAAGTAAATTCAATGGATTCCTCACTGCAGTGAATCTGAAAAATAGCCCTGAAACCTATTACTGCAATTGGATATAGTCGCTATAGGCCACTATAATTACAGTTAGAATGATAGTACATAGAAGTTATCAGTTAGGTTAGGATATACATAGAGTTGGTGGTACAATCGAACAAAATTGAGATTTTTTATAAAATTTACGTTATATAGTTGCATAATTAATATTGAACTAATATACGGTTCCTAATCATTTTGAATACATGTACATTGTACACAGTGCATGTCACCTATTTGTTAATTTGTTTGAAATTCATACGCCCTCCTCTTACTTTAAAAATTAATCCCGGTTGCGTTACTACATATAATGGATAATTCAGTGTATAAATCTTCTTCATCAGGCACCCTTGTCTTTTCGAGAATACGTTTTAATACTGATCACGAATCTGCAATAATTGATAGTATTTAAAGTATCAACTATCGATTAAAAAAAGACAAAATCGAAAAAAAAAGTGATTTGATCTCAATTTAGTTCATATTACATCAAATGCAACCATTAAAAAATGATTCTAAAAGAAGTTTGATGTGTTAATGTTTTGCTAAAATGAAACTTTAAAATTAAAAACTGTGTTAATTTGTTTATAACTATACAAAATAGTTAAATATTCACGATACAAAAAATAATAATTTTATCTTGAAAAATAAAATTGGCATAGAATATCTAGCGCCCGAGGACTTTCGTGTTATAAAAATAACAAAAACGATAATTTTGCTATAATAATTTAATTAAATAATTGTATGGCTTCACAGAAGCGCGGTGAAAAGCACGATTTTGTTACCAAAACAACGCACACAAATAAACAGTATAAACAGGGTGTAATTCATTTGGATGAATAATAAAAAAAAAAAACCTTTAAATTGTTTGGGTGAGAAATTAGCCCGATTATTTTGGTAAATGAGTACCCGCCTTTAAGCGGGATAAATTTAAATAAAAGTGAATTTTGCGAATTTTTAATAATAAAAACTGCATAGTTTAATATAATATTAGATTTATCATTTTTAGTTAGTAAAATTTATAACAAATCGTAATTTATATAATCTGTTATAATGTTTTGATATCATGTTAATAACAAACGTACTACTAGTTTTAAATGTTAAAATAACTAAATGTCCAAAGATATAAAAGAAAATGATTATAGATACATATAGGTACTAAAAAAAAAAACACATTTAATTGAACAAATTTTCTCGCTCAACCGTTTTGATTTTGTTTTCAATTAAAAAAAATAAATATGTAATTTGATATACCGAGTATATAAGTACTCACTGTCACTATACAATGTGAGTATCTGATTTCGAAGTTTCAATAACACAGGTACAACCATGGATGTATACTTGCTCTTATTTTGAAGTCTAATTGTTTTGTTAATTGATAGATATTAATGATAGCATCACTCGAATAATTTAAAATGAAAAGAAAAAAATCCAAATTGGCTTCTCGAGGAATACTGAAGAAAGAACCAGAGAAATGTGTACGCAGTACTTCCACGGTTTTGACAGGTTTTGATTGGTTTAGGCGTGCTGGGCACACCGTCTCGGCTGCACTAAAAATATGAATTGCTGCGAAACGGCCTGATGCGTGGCGACAAATAGTCTTGTGATACAAATATATCGACAGAAAAATGTTCAAAAACCATAAAAAAAAATAATAATAATACACATATTAATATAATATTAAATTTAGCGACAAAAAGAAATGGCACGTGATAGATAGACTTTGCTTCGAAGTTTTTGATACCTATTAAATTGTTGACGTTTATACAAGGTGATCAGCATAACATAAAACACTTATATTACCTCGAAAAATATGAACTTTTTCAGAATTTGGTTTTCAGAACTTAAAAAACAAGCATCACTAAAATAATACGTTACCCTTATTTTTAATGGACAGGGAAAAAGTAGTAAAGCATTATTCAAACGCCACGTCAATACAGAAATGATGCACCAGCTAGTATTCTCCCCTTGTCCATACAACTATATATTTATTTATTTTTTATTAAAACTGTAAATACAAACAATTAACACAACCACAAACTTAAAAGTTGAATATCCCGTAAACGAGTTAACGGAAATTAAGTGTCAAAACCAAAGCGTATTTAATCTAATATATAGAATTTTTAATAAAGGTTGCTATTTGAATATCAAACATGAGTATAGGTTTCAAAGGTGAAAAAAAAATGGTAATGTGATATTTTAGAACTGATTGTTTCCTAAATTTTTCAAAAGGAGAATTTCAAATAATTTAGTACTTTCCTAGATAATAAATGTCTTACGTTTTGTATTTACTTTACGGGGTATATGGGGTAGTGTTTATAGTTATTATATGAGGTCAAAAACGGGTCGGAGTGAAGTTCGATAATATATGTTTTGAAAAAGGCCGTAATATTTACGATTTTCGTCAAAATTTGTTTTAAAACTTATATAATAAAAAAAATAACATTACATAATTTTTTTTGACCACTAATTTGACTTGTAATGAACTTTCTGTTAAATTTTGAAGCATTTCTGTTTAGTCTAACAATTTTATCCTTAGAGTACCTACCAAATATAAATTAAATTACCTATAAATAGCTTAAAAATGGCGCAAATGTTTTGAAAATTTGACTACGTCAATAAAAAGCAAATATAAGTTTCTGTCAATATTTTAAGTTTTTACGAAGATAATTAACTGAATTTCAACAAAAAAACAAAATTGAAAATATTAAAAATATTTTTTCTTAAATTTCCAGGTCGTTTTACGTTTTATCCTCTAGATTAAAAACGCAACAAAATATGTATCATGTAGTTTTTATATTGGAGCAATGATTCCTGTAAAAAACATAGTTTACAAAAATTAAAAACAATGTAATCGGTAACACCATGGCGGGCATGTCAGAAATATTAGCCATTTTCTTTGTAATTTTTTTGCTGGTTTTTCCCAATTATTATAAAAATCCATTGGAAAATTAAAAGAAATAATTTCCTCAATGCACTATCAAGATAAAATTTTCATTCAGAAAAAGTACTACACTTTATACATTCGAGTAAGATTTGTTTTCGAAAAGTTGTTTACCGACAGATAAAAAAAAGAAAAACACAAAACTTAGTAAAACTAATAGGTCCCTGGCTATGTTCTGAATTTAAAATAAAATCGCTGCTCTGCAAATATTCCACAGTATTCTTCTGAAGATTTTTTTTCCTTTTCTGTTTTGTTGTTTATTAAGGAAAGTAAAATGAAATTTGAAAAGAGACGTCCTAGGATAATGGAAACGGGTGCAACCACTGTTATAGGTAATTTAATGTATACCTGTAAGCAACGATAAACTATAGCTAACGAAAAAATGATTCTGAGCGGAGTTCAGTTGATAATGATGCTTTGTCAACAATATACGTCATTTTATAGTAAAATAATTAAATAGGCTTTAATATATTCTTTGATATTTGTTTAATGTTGTATCGATTTCCCTGGTTTTTCTACGTTTTTCCGGTTTTCCCACGTTTTTTTCCAGTTTTTTACATTTATTGAGAAAACTTCGGAAGAAATCAAAAACCGACTTCATTAAAGTACCTCCCCAGTGAAATTTCCTTTTAGAAAAATTCCTATCATTAATAGTTGAAGCGAAATTGCTAATAAAAATGTTGTTCACAGAAAAAAAAAATCGTAATATTATACAAATATATTTCGTACATTTTCCCGTTCTTTTTCGGTTTTTCATATTTGATGAGAAAATCAAAAAATGACCCTTTAATGCACCACCGACGTGAACGGAAATCGCTCAAACATTTGATACTAATCTATCGAGTCTTCCGAGTCGAAAACTTGTTTATAGACAAAATAAAACATATTAACTCCAAAGACACGTCGTAAAATTAATACCATTAGGTTATATGACCAATAAGCAATAAAAATAACAATGTCAATAACGGTGACAATGGTATAATAACAATAATAATAAAGTCGCGGTGGACATTGCGTGTAACGCAATAGTAACGCGAGCTCAGGTGCAATTTCATCTGTTGGTGGGGGAAACTCGCCGCGCGTACAGTCAGTACTGTGCGAGCGCCGTAGCGGCGGCAGCCAGCACAGCTTGTCCGAGCGTCCTGCGCCGCGCGGCCGCCGCAAATGGCTTTTCCGTATATATGGTTTTTCCGTTAGCCCATCACGTCGCAGCCGGTTTTTCACTCGTCCCGTCGACAAAACCGGCCTCCGTAGGCGAGGTGGTGTGGACCGCGGGTATATGGGAGGCGTCGTTGACGCAGGGTGGTCGGCTTCGGCCGTCGGAGGGGGAGCTATACATTGTGCGTAGTGCGTGTGCGCGCTCGTACTCGTGTGCGTGTACAAAGTGCGGTGTGTCTGTTTGTGTGTGTGTGTGTGTGTGTGTGTGTGTGTGCGTGCGGTGCGGTCTGCGGCGGCGGCAACGGTCTCTATCGTTTTTTTGGTCGCGGAAAACGGCAGTGCTGTGCGAGTGTCACGACCGGATGAACGCGGCCCGGCAACGGTGTACTTGTATTTTCATACGCTACACTTACGCGGTGGCAACGGTATTCGTGTACGCGTCAGAAAACACGCCGATCATCGCGGACGAAGAAGACGAGTGCAGCTGTCGCAGCGACTTGCGAGCGAACAGCGGCGACGGGAGAAAAAATTCAAAAATCCTAGGAATAGGAAAACGCGGGTAAGCCCCGTCCCTGGGACGGGCAGTTTAGCACGCGGTTTGCGCGATGGGTTGCGATCTGGGTAAATTGGCTAGCTCCACGGCGTCCGGGAACGACCGTGGTGGCGGCAAGCACAAGGACAGGCTGGAGGAACCGCCGAGTCCCGGTCCACCAGATCCCCGGCTCCCGTTGACGGCCAAACAGAAATACAGCATGATCGCGTCGTGGAAGGGCATATCCCGGGCAATGGAACCTACCGGGGTGTACATGTTCATCAAGTGGGTACCATTTGTATAATAATGATACCAATATTTATTGGTAAATGTAGAATATTTAATATAATGATTAATATATATACAGAAAAAAAAAGAAAACAGTATACTTCAGTTACGCTTTTTCAAACGATTTCGTTTCTCGTGACTGTCTTGCAGAGCGCGGGCTTTTGCTCGAACCGACGATTTGTCTCTAGAATTGACCTCGATCGGCTCGACTGCGTCCGCTTTATAAAACATGGCAACTAGTAATCTAGTCATACGGGGCTGGGTGTCAAATGCCCCTTGAAATTTTTGGGTGTTAAATATGAATACAAATATTTTTGATTAAATTCAAATCAAACAAATTTTTTTTTTAATTCTACCTTTCTCCCACCCCCCCTTGAAAATTTGTCTTATAGCTAATGAACTCGTAGCCTCCGTCACTTCTGTACAATTTTTAAAAATTGTCCAACCCTAACCGCCAAAAACTAGCCCAAATCACGACACTGATGTAACATTATCACACGGCGAAAGTTGTTTTGCATACTCGTCTTACTATAAAGGACGCAGTCTATATCATTATAAAAAAACTCCCGTGCACATTAACCGCGGGTAGTCATGATTATTGTACGATTTTATACGTGTGTACAGAAAATACTCGACTCTCTGAACTTGATTTTATACGATTTTTACGTGTAGGTGAATTTGTCCCGTTTCGTGTATATTTTTTGATAGCAAATTGTACCTATAGTTGGCGTATCGTTTTTCGGTTTTTATTAAAAACGGGGAAATAAACGTTTAGGAAAATCGGGCACGAAGCCAATATACGAAAATAACGGTTTTATTTTTTTCGATTTTTGCCTTTTCGTAGTAATTAGCGGTCAAAAACAACCATGCTAGAGAATTAAAATGTCTACAAAATGTACTCGCATTTTAGGTTTTACTGAACGCACTAATACGTTCAAAACTATATGAAGATTTTTAGGCTATTTAAAGGCATTATAAATGTTCTTTTCTCCTTTAAAATTATTGTTATTATTATTATAACCGCAGAGCTGTTAAGGTGAATGTAGAATATATTGAGACATCAACCCCGTCGTCGGTTTGTATAATATACAGTAAACATTTTATTATACAGAAACGATTTACACTAAATAGTAAGATTTTTCCTCAAATGTACGAGTTATACGTAATTAAATGCATGAGGATACTGTTCTATTGTGTTTAAAAAATAAAAATAGATATTGGAATATTTTTGAGGTATTACTCTCCGCTTATCTGTCGTCAAACACATGCGTTTATGTTAATAAAAGTACATATTTGTTAATGAAAATGATAAATACAATATTTAATAATGATATGCATCATTGGTTTTTTTTCTAGGTTGTATTTCGGTTTCAAGTTAAAAAAAATCTACGGTAGAATATCACATTTCGAAAAATATATTTAACAAAAATTATAAAAAAAACTGCCCTCTCATTTATAATATCAACACTAGTGATATGTTTTTTTATCAGAAAATTGTTATCGTATAATAGAATGAATATTTTCGACAATATATTTTAACCATCATTCGTCGATATTTTCATAATTAAAAATATAATATGGTTTACCTTTGTATAAAAAAAAAATTCAAAAACGTGCTTTTTTAACGTTTAAACTAAAAAAAGAAAAATAATATATATATATTTTTTTCGTCATCTTCAACAAATATTTACAATACGGTGACAACGAAGTTTCCAAGGAAAAAAAAACATAAAAATACTTAGGTGTATATACTCACACAAAAATGAATAATTCCTTTTCTCGTCGTCGACGCAGAGCTTGATTTATAGATTTCGGGTTTGGGTCATTTTGATACAAAAGAGGAGTCATAAAAAAAATAAAGTTCTCGTAAATTATCACATCGATTTTTTTTTTTCTTAAATTATTTGTTAAAAGATACGAACAACAAAAATATATCTCGTACAAACGCGACACGAGTTTACATAAAACTCAATAATATAATATTTGAACAAAAATATAAGGCCTGTCAAAATTTGAGGTAGAAACCTATACCTATACACCTACAAGAAGGTAGGAACTGATCTAAACTCAGTGTTTAATTGTGTTGTATTTGGTTTTTTTGGGAATACAATTTTTTAGTATTTCAAAAAACGCTCGAAAATTTGATAGGCTGTTGACAAATTGTTCTTATGGCGATAAACAAATTTTATAATATCAAAAATATATAGTTACGATTTATTTCCGTTAGTGTTTTAAGATCGAATTCTAACGAAAATCTTAAAAATCACGGTATTTTTTCTGGTAATCTCGATTTTGTTAAAATTCAATGAAAAACAAAAGAAAAAAACCTGAAAAAATTTCTCCGAACACTTATAAAATTCAAACACCTAATCTATATATGTGCTATGCAATTTTCAAAATATTTCATCGGTTTTTGAGTTATCAACAGCTATTTGAAATGTTAAAGTTTTTATGTTGTTTTTCGTTTTTATAAAGACAAATTAATTTTATAATTTACTTTTATACTGAAGAAAACGTAATAATCAATTAAAACTTATCAAAATATATTCACCCAACTTTTCTCAGAATTTTAGATTTTCAATGAAGTGAAGAACATATTAGTTTTATTATGGTGTTTGTTTTTGAATTTTTCGTGGTGTGTATTTGTTCATAACTTCTACGAGAAATCTTGTTCCAATCTTTAAATGTAGGAGCAATTTTTCTGAATAAATTTTATTTATTTGGTGTATTGAAGGGATAATTTTTTTTGATTTTCCTTATAGTTTTTTTATTAATTTGGAAAACGTAAAAAAAATGATGAAATAAATGCAGTAACAATTCTTAAGTAGTATTTACACGACGTTTCAAAAATGTTCAACCGAAGTTCGTTCAAAATTGTTATCAATGATTTATCGTTGCGTATAAATATAAATAAAATAACTTTATATATCATACTTTCCCAACTTCCCATCTTTATTCTATAATCGTGGTACATCCATTAGAATTATCAGGTATTTTTTAAGTTTTTTTTTTTTGTTTACTACGTTCAACAATATCCATAATACATTGTAAATCCCTATCAAACAGACTTTATCACGTGTACTTATCACAGATTGTGTGTATAATAATACATACACGAAATATCATATCATTTAGTAATCTCGATAAAAATATACGTAAGAGGGTCCGATGACGCTTCGGTTATGATCCCCGTATAACTTATCCACGACGTTTAAATCCAAAACTGAATTATACCCGCTCAAAGGCTTTTTCCTCGTCGAGATATAATATTAATACGAAACCGGGGGTTTGCTCGCGTTGACATTATATTTATCCGAATATATATTATATACCTATAGTTGGTAGGTATTAAATATTATTGTTAACCGTTTTTCGAATTCTTTATCAAAGGCTTTTTTGTGCATACGAGACGACTGGATGGAAAGAGTAATCTACCGATTTCTAAATGTATACACGAGTACAACACAGGTATACGATACTTGAGAATATAATAATCGAAAAAAAAAAATAAATTTTCTAATATTATATGTATTGGATCGATTGTGCGTATCAACGCGGCGTATGCGTTTGAAAACGAATATCACCGCGCGACACATCAGACAGAGGATTTCCGCTAAAATGCATACAAACCGAATGAATAATCGATGACCGACCCCCGACAAGATGTCACCAAGACCCCTCTCATCCATGAATATAAATATGAGGGTAATATGCTGTTGACGATCTTACATGCGTTCTGTATACTATTATACACGACTAGCTGAATTACCCGGCGTTGCCCGGAAACAAATTCGTGACAAATTAGATAACGCCATGTATTACCATTTACCGTCTTAAATTCATAATTATCGATAATATACATAATAACCTAATAAAATAGGAGTATTGGTGTACGCGCGATGCTTGAGATTATTTTTATCGATAAACTTCTCGGAACAATTTTATTCTCGGAATCATCATTCTTATCTGCACGACGACGACGACGAACAAAAAGGATGGGTTGCAGGTAGCTGGAGACCCGCGGGCCGCCGTGCCGCACAATACGTAGTGGCGGTGAATAATTATAATTGTTAATTACTCCACTAAAACGCAACATTTTTGAAAAACCCTCTTTATTGCACGGTGAAAATATGAGAAGAACCTATATTCCAAATTTCAAGTCCGTACGTTACGTAGTTTTTCAGATACAGCGATCAGTCGGTCAGTGGTATTTGGATTTTATATGTATAGATTGAAAACGGAAAGAAAGAAAATAATTAATACATTAATATACCTATGTGTTTTGGTTCGGTAATGCAGTGTCGGTATTCTACCGACCGACCAACGACGAGACGTCTATAGTACAAGTAGGTATAACGATGACGAAAAACAACAGGTATATATATATAGATAGATAAGTGTAATAAATAAGCGGATATCGTATAAGTAGGTATTATATTGAATGTGACTGTTTTTTTCAATATCGATGCTGAATAAAACGTTCGAGAAACGCGACGACGGCGTGCGTGCAGTTGTTTTGTGCGACATCATTTTTCCCCCTTTGTCACATGCACTAGGCGCGACGACCGCAGTATCGAATAATATATATTCGATTTTTATTCGAAAATACGGGTTAACGATAATATCTAAACACTTTCAAAACGTTTAAACATCGGAGAAAAAAATCGATATCAAAAAAAAATGTTACTTAACTTATGCATAGGTTATGAATATACGTTTAGTAGAAATATAATAATCGTAGATTTGTTTACTGGTTGAAGGTTGATCCCTCGCCTCCCCCTAGACAAAGCTAGTTGTTGAAAAGTTATAAACTTTTAAATAGATAAAGATCATATTATATTTATAAAAAAACAATAAACATGTAAATCTGAGTTTTACAAAAGAGAAAATTCGCAAAAAACAGTAGATAACGAGTAATTTGCTTTTTTTTTTTTATTGAAAATCCATCAACAATAAAACTGTTTTAAAATGATTATACAGTGTAATACAAAAATTTGGAATTTGAAATAACTTTTTTTCTGTTCAATTCCTCCAAAAACAAAAATGTGAAATTTTGTTCCCTAATAATTTCCCTTCGTAGCTTTGTTATATTATTATATTTATCTTTTTGTTATACCAGAATAATTATATATTTTAAAATTATCCTGTACTTATGGAGGAAGGAAGTTGATAGTAGATACTCTCTACCTCAAACACCACCGTGATTACGCTTCCAGTTAAGTCGTCTTTTTAAGTGGTAACTGTAACTGCCCCATAAGAGTAACCAGTCCAGACCTGGAACTCATAGTAAAGATGTATTTAGTGAGCAGTGACTAGTACCTATACAATCGGCGATGATTGATTCGACGAATGATTTTAAGCTGCAAAAAAAAATTTCAAAATATAAGGTATACATTGAGAGGTGGTTTTTAAAAGATGTATAGAAAAATTATTCTAACGAATAGTGTAATCAAACATTGCGCGTAGACTATGGAAATTCAAAATAATGTAAACCCAGGTATGGAGATATGAAAAAGCCGATTTCTCCTCTCCTCCCCCAATCACAAATCAATATATTATTATACTTGAGAAGTTTTAGACTCGAGGTACACACTAAATATTTCAGTTAGATGAACTAGTATTGAAATGGAATTTTCGGGGAATGATGGAGACTACCCAAATACACATTTTCAGACATATTTCAAATTTTTAACCATCTTGGTACACGCATTGCGCACTACCACTTATTTTTTTAAAAATATTAACACCATTTTGTTTCTACAGATTCGGATAGAATATTTTTTTTAAAAACAATTTTTGTTTATAAAATGTTTTTTCTAATTAAAAAATTTTAATTTACGAATAATCTGTTATTGACGAAATTTTAACTTTATTCAACTAATATTCGAAATGATATCTTAGATATTTTGAAATAACTATTTGTAGATAGATATAAAACACAAAAAAACACTTTTTTTTTCGTAATTTACCCTTTTTTTTTATTTATGCTTCAGAAAAAATTAAAGGTAATGAAAATTATAAAAATTTACACAATATGAATTTAAAATTAAAATTAATTTATTTGCAACAATAGTTTTATTAAATACATTTTTCAGAGTTTCCGTCTTGGTGTTCCAAACATGATTCCAAACCTTTTAAAAATTCTCCTGATGCGCTACTCTTAATTTGTTGTTTATATCTTGGACATTATTAGGAGGATCCACATACACAATATTTTTTAAATGCACCTATAAAATGAACTGAATTGTTTATTTGTGTCTTATCTGTCTACAAACAGGTATTTCACAATATCAGATATAGCATTTCGATATTTTAGTATAAAAGTTGGACATAGTTAAAATTTCGTGAGTTACAGATTATTTGTAAATATTAAATTTCAAAATACTCTAACTTTGCCAATTTTGAAATTAGAAATAAATTTTTTTTATACAAAAATTGTTTTAAAAAAATAATCTATCTAAATCTGTAGAAAAAAATGGTGTTGCCGTTTAAGAAAAAGTAAGTTGTATTGCGCATGCGCGAATCAAAAGGGTTAAAAATTTGAAATTCATCTTAAAATGTGTATTTGGGTACTTCCTATTATTCCCCGAAAATTTTATTTCAATAATAGGTCATCCAACTGAAATATTTAATGGTACTTCTTAGCGTGAACACACTTCATATTATGATTATTTGATGTTATTACAAAATACGCAAACTACTCTATGGCACTTGTCACAATATAATACGTTTTTTGATTAAAATTTATGTTTTTTTCGCATTCGGTAAATTTTAATCAAATTTTAATACGTTAACACGTAAGGAGCTTACGAGCTATACGGCGCGCATATAATCGGAAACTAACGATATTTTATTATATTCTATAATACGCACTATGATTATATCCAAAATAAATTGTTTATTATGGTCGCTGTAATAAAAAATATTAGTTAATTATTAGTTCGGCTTAAAGTTGATTTGTGTAAAAACCAAGTGCTTTTGTATATTTTATAATAAATAATAACTATAACTTTATTACAAAACAAAGCATTTGATGAGAACATTTGACATTCTAAATAGGTACATGGCCTTTTTTTATGTTTTGAAAAAATACTCCGATGCCGAATTATTGACCTACGGGGTCATTCGAGGTTACACTAGGAGTAGTTATTTTAATTTTTTTTTTGTTATAACACGTATTATAACTTGTATATATTATGCTATATTTATATGAAAGATATTTGAATATTTTAGCGGGCGTATATAGTCTTATCAATTTAACCCTTCTTGCTTTATTATAATCGAACAAAACGTAATAAAATCAATTTTGAAAAATAGCAACTCATTCCCTCGATAATTTTATTATAACGAAAATGAATTTTCGGCCGATTTTAATTGCAGTATACAAATAATCGAATTATTGTTAGTCACGTTGTATACTCGTTGATAATAATATATTCGTTTAAAACGTGCGTCAACAGGATTATAATAAACATACTTATAGGTAACTATATTCACAAAGAGTTAAATTAATTTTTCTTCCGAAAATTTTGTTAAAATGAAAATTATTATTATTATTTTTTTATTGTAAAACATACTATAAAATTTTAATATATTCGTATTGTACCTAATGACATTGGTTTTTTTGTTTTTTTGTTGCTTACAAAATATATATTTAAAGGTCGAAATTGTGCGACAAGTATGCACTGTACAGTGTACACTATACCTGGATAGGCCAGCAAAAGTTTCGTCTAGTATTTTTAAATTTGTATTTTATTGCACGTGGCACCGCTGTATTTTTCTTCGATTTGATAAACCAAACAAAAATACGTGCAATATTTTTAATATTTATTTTTATAATGTATTTGATTCTGAATGGTGCGAAGAAGCGCTTATGGTTTTACAAAGAAGTTAATTTTAGATTCTGAGTGTAGTGAAGAATATATTGGTTTTACTAAGATGTTTTTTTTTTTAATATATATATATATATATATACTGTGTACGAAAATTCTGCTCAGATATATATGCGCGGCACTATATCTGAAAAACCCGGGAAAAACGGCAAAATCGGTACAATATTAAACAAATATTATTAAATAAAATATATAATGAATATATAATTATTTTATCATAATATGACATATTTATTTATTTATTTATTTCGGGACTAGCCCAGATTACAATGTACATATTTAGTATTTATACAATAAAATATAATATAACAAATATTATATATTTGTTATATTATAATATATACCATATATATATAGAATAATAAAATTTTATGAAAATTAATTAAAAAGTTAAATCAAAAGAAGGGTCGGTATTAGCGGTGCACATAAGACGGATAATTGGAGAATGGAGAAGGTAATTAGATGAAGATAAAAGGATATGGAATGGGATCGATGAAAGTGTACGATGGCAGGGAACGTTAAAGGTGATGCGGGATTGTTAACAAAACATCACTATCAACTGAGCTGCGTTTAGAATTGTTTATTCGTTAGTAATAGCTTATAATTATCTATAACAGTAGCTGCACCCATCTCCATTAATCTAGGACGTCGGTTTTTAAATGTAGCACCTTTTCTGAAAAGAAACTGGACTGTTGAGGTACTTTAGGGAGGTTACTTTTTTATTTTCCCAGTTTGTTCAACAAATGGGGAAACTGGGATAAAACAGAGGAAAAAAAGGAAAATTACAAAATATAGATGTAAGTTGAAAAATATTTCGGCCTTTTTTTTTCTACCAGAAATTTTGCTCCGGTTTACAATGATAGCACTTTTGTATGTATTAAAAGAGTATTTTATTAATAATTATTTAACATATTATTGAATCTATTAGAATAATTAAAATATTTGGGAAGAACATTTAATGAAGGTTCAATTTAATGGATAGGTTCAACTTGTATAATCTAGACGAAATACGGTGTGAATCACTACCAATAAACATCAAAATACTTTTGGTTTAAAAACTAATGACTTATATAAGTGACTTAATTACTTATATAGTAACCAATAGGTAATTCGGTAAAAGGGAGACTTATTTATTTTAACAATTTATTGTAATCAGGACAATACTAAGATGTCCTAATATTAATGGAACTACATGCAAATAGACATTTTATGTATTTTGTACAAGGGTCTGTAGTAATGATGCACAACCTTTTTTGATCCACGACCCCCAAGATTATTTATTTTAATGAGACCCCCTTCCTACCAACATTATGTAAGTGTATAATATATACTTAATTAACATGGTTTTAATGTATATAAAAATTGTAATCATATACATTAAATCGTTAGTATTTCTGTAATTTAGTTAATTCAAAACATAAACAATAATACAAAATTAGAGTTTTATAAAATCTGAAATAAAAAAAAAATTCTTGAAATTGTTATAATTATAATCAACATTTTAATATTTTTAAAATTATAAAATTACTCAGTATTACATAATTTAATGAGCACCAAAGCACCACTAATTGCGCCTATGGGGATGTAGTAAATAATAATCGTGGTTCATGAATAAATCGTTTTTCTGAAAGGAAATCTTACTAAGAAGGTACTTTAGGGAGTTCACTTTCTGATTTCTCTTATAGGAATTTTCTCAAAAAATGGGGAAAACCAGGATAAAACACGGGAACCCGGGAAAAATATAGGAAAAACGGGAAAATCGGTACAATATTAAAGAAAATATATAATGCCTATTTAATTATTTTACCATTATTATAATATATGTCATATATATTGTTGACAAATCATTACTATCAACTGAACTCCGCTCAGAATCGTTTTTTCGTTAGCAATTTATTTAATGTAAGCAACGATAAATAAATATATATATAAATTAAATTCTCTTCTATATTCTACCTTCCCAACTTTCCACCTAAAACAGTGGCTGCACCCACGTGCAAAGTATGTCCATCTTTTTTTTTGAAATTCATTAAAACGTGAATCAATTTTGCTATTCAATATGAATTTTGTTAAACCGTATACTAAAACAACACCCCGTATATATGGTTATCGCTGCATTTTTAATATTTATTCATACCTATATAGTACTTTATGGTCTTTATGTAAAAAACTCGGCACAATGCGTGCATCTATATTTTATATCCATCATTGTTTGCTTATCGTATGGTACGTGAAAAATAATGGTTTTATTCACGCAATATTCGATCACAATATATAATCGCATGTATGGTAGGTGGGTGGATATGGATGACGCACACAAGTGCGCAACTCGGAAAAATCCGTTTGCGGTCACACATTCCCAAGTCTACGCGTAAATGGAACGTGTATACCTATATACCGTCGTACGTGTGGAAACTGTGGTTGGTTTTAAGGGCTCAAAGTACTTCAAAAGTGTAATTGAAAACAACGAGTGAAATTCTCAAAGCTGAGAAATAATAATACGAGACGCGCACTCCTCCGATTATATAACATTCGCAACTCAGTCTCGCGAGAATGTTAACGCGCGAGAAGAAATATGTATTTGCAAGTAATACTGTACTTGTAATGTCAAAACAAATAAAAAGTTAACCAAAAAAAAAAAAAAAAATGATTTTTATATTTTTTTTTATTAATTCTTGGACGGGGCTAAACAAATTTTTACGATTACAACGATAATAATCCGTACAAATATTTATCGATCAAAAACGATACTATACAAGTGTTTATGGACATAATAATAATAATAAAAAACGAACAATTCCAAATAGTAGACCTAATATACGGACACTTTCCCTTTGCGTACGGCCGTTAAAATGATAAAATTTAATATTCTCAAAATAAAAAGTTAACCAAAAAAAAAAAAAAAAATGTTTTTTTTTTTTTTTTTTTTTTTAGTGCGTATACCTACTCGGTGAATTTAAAATAACTTTTTATCTCTAACACTTGCCGTTCTGACCTATACAAAAATTATTGTTTTCGTCATACTTATAACGTTTAATTATATATATATATATATAAATTAATTAGGATATTTTTTATGCACTTTCATGTTATTATCAATTGCTAACTCACAATAGTGCAATGAGTTTCATGACCTAACGATTCTATATTATACAAAATTATATTTTACATACTTTTACATAAGTTTTCGAATTTTTAGGACATATTTTAAAGATTTTGTACATTATCATTTTATTATATATTTTTTGTTTTTACTGTATTCTGGTGTTTTGGCTTTTAGTGTATATCTGCATACATAGATAATATACATAAAGGTTTTTAGTGCATATAAATATCTGAACTAACAATAATACTTACATACACTATGTAAATTACGCTTACTCTTCTAAGTCTGTCGAATAGGTACAAAAAACATATACGGTATAGTAATGCTATTTAAGTTCAGTTATAAGGTTTAAAAGTAATAGTTAATTATGTTTTATAATTATAGCCGTACGTCACACACTCAATTTTTGTAAGGTAGATTTAGGAATTTCAACAATACCGTTTACGAACAAATGAAAACTTGTATCGACTCAAAAATATTTAAATTCACTTACGTAACAATTTACAAGTAGTATCCATCATACGTATTAAGTAATTGTTATTTATAGTGTAATTAATAATTACTAATTATGAAAAAAAACCTCACGATTATAACAAAAAAAAAAAACAGATTTTAATTTATTAAAATATTTTTAATTTTTTCTTCAAAACTACAGACTATTGTGTCTGTTATATAATATATAAAGGCTGTCACATGAAGATATACCTCTTGAATAACTCCGGAGATAATAAAAATAATCAAATTATGTTTTTTGTATATTACTCACAGATATAACAACAACACGTATTTATTTTTAAATTAAACATTTTTTTTAGTAAAAAAATTAAGTTTATTTTATTATTTTGGAAAATGTTAAGATAGCCATTTTGTAGAGTTTCTTTTCCTGAAAATTTTAATGTATCACACATTTTCATCCAATGAATAGTTTCTAAGTAACAGCCGTTTTAAATTCTAAATAAAATAAAAGTTTATTTTTTTTACTAAAAAAAAATTAAATTTAAATATAAATATTTGTAGTTCTCGTCCCTGTGAGTAATATACAAAAAACATAATTTGATTATCTTTTTTTATCTCCGGAGATATTCAAGCGGTAAATCTTCGTGGGACAACCTGTATATTTCTTCTCGTTACTTTCGGGCACTTTTAGCGGATACCTCTGGACCAAATGAGCTCAAACTCGTAAATTAGAGTTTTTTTTTTTTTTTTATATAGCCGATGTAACCGGAATTATTTACTCCCGTGAAATTTTACGAAATAAGTTATAATATTTAATTGATATTATGTCGTAATGATTGACTAGTAGCTGCTGCCAGTATATATTCTTATTAGTCATAATATATTGATTTTTAATTTAAAAAAAAAAAAAAAAACATCGATACGATAATGGAGATACCGCGGTTTATCCAGAAACGAAGTAACATTAAAAATTACAATAACAGTAATCATTAAAAAAAAAAAAAAACTCTACATTAATTATTGTTATATTATGAAAATACCACTTTAGACACGTACATATATTTTATCGTTAGTGTTTATACCTAATCTGTGTTCGACTAACAAAAGTACAATTCCGATTACTAACGTTCTTAATTCCACATATTAATCTCGTATATTTTTTTACCGATAAACTGTATAAACAATATACGCGTGTAGACACCAAAAACTTATTTTGTAATTTCTAAATAATTTCCATTGATTTATGAGACCGTGTAAAACAACTACCTATATAGATAATGTTAATTAAAACTGTTTTATTTTTAACAATTGACGTAATTAAAAAAATAGGTACTGATGCACATTATTATAATAATATCACGATGATTAGAGTCCGGATGTATCTATATAGGCATTTTTCACTTTTTTTTTTTTTGTATTGATCAGAAACGAAATAATATATTATAGTGAGTACGTGACCAACGTCAGACATAGAGATGTGGGCTCAGTAAATTTATCCGGTAAGGTAAATTGTTTACCGATTAAAATCAAGTGACCCATCATTTCAATTGGTTATTTTTTTACACGTAATAACTTTTGATTTATACATCAAATTATTGTTTATTATTAATTATTGTTAACTATTATTATATAATTATATGTATTTATATTAATATATATATTTCAACATTCAACTTGGTAACGCTGTCAACATGATAAATATTGCTAAATACTGCTACTACAAGATCAAATCGGTTTTTGTCTCACTCCACGTCACGATTCCATTTCAAACAGTATACGAGCGTACGTTAGTATATATTCCAAGTGTATATTATGTAATTGGATTTCGGTTTTAGAAAGAAAAAAAAACTATTTGAATTATTATTAATTAAAATATTATAACATACTATAACAATCTCACAATATACAAAACGAAAATTAAAAACATATGTACTTCATGTGTTTTCAATATATATATACGATATTTACGTTGAGCGAGAATTAAAAAAGGTATGAATCTGTTTTCAAAATTATAATTGTCAGATTGCGTGATACAGAGTCTGGTTATATTACGATTAGAATGTCATTAGAACTCGTGATGAGATGTTTTCGACCAAAACTACGCAGGTCGGTAATATGATCCAGATAAGGAATTATAGGTAGGTGCACTGTTGTATTAAACAAATAATTACAATCGTCAAATTTCACAATGAGTTTTTTTTTAAGACAATAGTATTAATTTTTTTTTTTTATATTTGTTACAACATCTGAATAAAACATATTATTGTTATTACGAAAACCCTATAATATTAATTTTGTTTATTTTCGTTGTGTAAACTCGTAAAAATACGTTAATTTTACCAGTTTGAAATCGATAATATTCTACGTGAAAAAAAAAATGGTACTTTTTTTCTTATTTGGTAATTTTCATTCGTATAATATAAGAACATCGCTCATTATAATACGTGCCCCCTCGAATAATAACGCGAAAAAACGGACGGCTGTACCTTAAAGTTAATGAATTATTTAAACGCAAACAAACGGTTAGGTATATGTGTATAATATAGTCACGGAGGCACTGCAGGTCTGTCAAAACTCAAAATATCCATTAAAAGACAACCGTCTCTTAAATCACCTCTATCACCCCTCGGCAATTCTTGTGTTATATATATATATAGGTACTTATTGTAAATAATTTCGCGAGCTTAGGTCGCGACATCATTGTCATTATTAAAGATAAAGTATTATACATACCTCACCACATACCTGTATCTACTCGGATGAAATACCTACGACGTAGATAAGTAGGTATATTATAATAATTGCTGCAGTCCGCGTAGTCGTAACTTGGGGGTTGGGGGGTAGATTTGTCGTATACGACGTATTCAAATCGTTTTAAAAATATTTTTATCATCATGTCTCTCGGCCGTTGGGGCATTTTCAGTACCTAGGTAATATTATAATGCCGGAAAACAGTGTCCGAATATAATAGAAGCATATAAGAAAAGTTCTTTTCCGGTTACGATGGCGAGGAGAGAGTAGAGTGACCGCCGAGTATATTTACTGCAGCGAATTCCTTGGGGACGAAATGTTCGCGCACGCGATTACCGTGTGTACACTGTACACATATTATTATTTATTTCTCTCTCTCTCGTAATGTGGGTATTTTGAGTCCGTAATCGTCGATATAATATACGCCCAAAAAGCGAATTAAATTAGCGTATATATGACTGCACGTGCGCGATTATGATGTTATTACAATAGGAAAATATGCAAGTGCCGCCGGTATAAATAGTATAATATAGGTGCCTATATAGTGCAAAAAAAAAAAAAAAAAAAAAACGGCCGATACTAATGATGGGTGTGCCACGGTTTTGGGAGGACAGTTCGAAGGGAGAATATAATATAGAGTAATTTAATTTATATCTGTTAGCATTAATAAACCATTGCTTACGAAAAGCAATTCTGAGCAGAGCATATTTGTTAGTCGTTTTTTTTTCCGCCAGTGTTCCCGAGTCTAACCCGGAAATCAATAAAAATTATCCGAAAAATTGTCAGTTTTTCACGTTTGTAATGATGGAAAATCGAATAATAGTGATGTCCAGAAAATTCCAATACACTTTTTGATCGGAGCGAGATTTTTGATAGAAGAGTAATTTAATGTCACAAATAAAAAAAAAAATGTATCATAGTAAAACCAATACATTCTTCGTTCACTCGGAATTTAAAACGTTAGACTTAACAAGATTTTTTTCGGGCGTATATTGGAAATGTTCATGAAATATGTCTGTCAAGCATATTAGTATAATGTTTATCAGTGTAGATACATTTTGGACGGAAGATTAAAAATATTAAAACTATTTAAAAATAAAAAAAAACCCCTATGATGCATATAAGTATAATTATGTGTATCTATTGTAAGTTTTTGGCTATACTTACCTACTTATCCTACCTATCTACTTCAGTATATTTTTTTTACATTATACATTTTTGATTCTGGTTTGAGTGGGCGGGAGCTATATAATTATATTAAGATGTGTTTTTTGTTCTACTATTATTATTTAAAATACTAAAGAAACAAAATATGGCGCACATTAAAATAATATTCAAAATGACAATATTAGGAATAAAAGATAGTATAACTGTACTACGAATACCATGAAATTTTGTTGAAAGTGAATATAAACATCACGACACATTTTCAGTGACTTACTCATATTTTTTATATTTAGATTAAAAAAAAAGCCATCTATATATACATATATATATTATATATGTATATTACGTGTTATAATAGAATTCTATTATTATAATAATATATTATTATTTACAAATACACTTTGTACTAACACGATTGCATTACTTTATACGTATTATAGGTAATAATATTATACCACACCAACATGCAGTATTTTCAATATTTTTCTGAGTTTTGTATACCTACCTACGTGTTTGCGATATTTTAAGGTACACATACGCGCAAATGGTTTTATTTTGAATTAAATTATTTATGTATATAGATGGCAAAAATATAATATTTATTACGACAAGAATATTCGTCGAATATATTATTATGCTGAACAATATTTTATACGTATTTGCATACAATAATCAATAAACAATTATATTTTAAATTTAGTACATAATTTTACTTATGAAATCAATTTTTATGGCAACGGAATTGTACAATATCTCATAATGAAAAACTAAATCGAGACCGACCGTAGTATGGTGATAAAGAGCTACGTATACATATTATAGTCAAATTATTTGGGAACTCAAATAACACTATTACAACAATAATAGGTATAATGTTAGGTTTTAGGTACACGTATAATGTCATTGTTTTTGAAATGTGTTTAATTTCTATGGTCGAAAAACGTTTATTTTTCATGCAAAACTGCAGTCCAAATTATTGTAATAATCTTAGACGCAAATAATTTTCAGAGGAGGCTTCAGCACTCCATGTTTTTGGTCAAATAACTTACGTACCTATATACTTGGCATTAACTTAATGGAGATTTGGCTAACTCCCCCCCTTTAAGATATATATCCTTTGTGTGCGTATATTTATTATTATAACAATAACATATATAAGTATTTGTCTCTGAACGACTAAGATTTATCATAATAAAACAGTAATAGAATTATGGTATTTATTTACTTGTATTAAAAATATCTAGTAGTTAATCTTCGTGAACCCATCCGCTAGCTATTATACCCCCGTGTATAAATATAATTTTTTTTTAATTTGTGAAAAGGTTTCAATTAATACTCCAAATATTATGAAGAGAATTATATTAATTTCTTGTGTAGAATATATAAAGGCATATAGGTAAGTAAACTCTACAATTATTTGAATGCATTTTTTTTATAATCCCTATAATATTCATATTTTTTTTTTTTTTTTAATAATACGCACAGTATAGTTACATAGTATATATAAGTGTAAAATTTACAGATCGTCACACATTCTCACGACTGTCATATAGGTAGTATAGTAACCGCAAGAATTTACTGATCACAATAATAGTTTTGTTGAGATGATTCTGATGATTATAAATTACCCGTATAATATATTTTTAATCAAAATACGAAAAGAAGGCTAGATAAATTAGTTATTTTTTAGATTCAAACAAAAAACAAGTTTGCATTTAGGTTAGTTTCGGTTAAAATAATATATTATTCTCTCTTGGTGACACTAAAATTAACAATACAAAAAATACGAAAATATAATTATTTAGCTAGTTGAAATACTTGTCGATCTTTTAATTTTACGTTTACAAAAAAAAAAAAAAAAAAAAAAAAAAAAAATGAAAAATAATACCTAATAATAATATTTTATTTATTTACATAATTTTTAATTTTTTTGAACAATATTAGGCCTCACTAGCTAAGGAACCTCGTGTAGAAGGGTTAAATTTAAATGCCTTTTCGAATAGTTGGTTAAATTACTTGAACAGTAAATTATACGGGGAATTTTATACAGATGATAAAATCGAAACAATAGTAATATTTATTGCTCGTATAAATAAGTATACGATATTGAATCATATCGAACAATTATCGTTAGAGTATCGAAAATGATAAAAAAAAAAAGGCGGTTTAATAATCGAAACGACCATTTAAAATAATAAAATCGATTTCTGTTGTTCTACGGTTTTATGGTAATTTACACATATAAAATTAAAAAAACTTAAGGTTACTGTATAACGATTATTTATTTTTATATTATGATACGTAGAAATATAAGCATGATATTATACATATTATATTAGTGAGAAAAAAATTTGTGTTTTAGATTAATCTTAGGTTTTGATTTGGAAATTATTGTATAATATGTTATTTTTTTCTTCTTCTAAGGCATTTTAAAAACCATTCAGGTCCATCGCTACAACAACAACGTCCCTCCACTTCTCCCATACCCATGACGCTTACTCTACTTTCTCCCCACCAATCATCCTGAGGTCTTCCTTGACTCTACCAGCCTACCGTTGTCTGGGTCGTACTCTGTGCCGTTTTGTGCTCGATTGGTTTCCATTTTGTTATATTATTCCAACAGATCTCCAAACATGACCGGCCAATCTTATTCTACTACTCTTTATGATTCCTATAATATTGGCTTCTCCAAATAATCTCTTCAGATTTTGATTTTTCCTAACTTCAAATTCACCTTCTTCATTATGTTTTGGTCCAAAAATTGTCCGAAATATTTTGCTTTCAAAAACACCCAATTTCTTCTCATCCATTATGGTGGTTACCCACGTTTCACACGTACATAATGCTATGGGTCTAATTAAAACTGTGTAAAATATCATCTTTGATCTGGTTGATACAGGAACAGATACAGAGAAGCCCCTAGGATCCCAGGCCTCCAGATATATTATTTCTCCGATTTTTGTACGAGAACTGTATGAAAAAATATTAAACAAGATGTTTTATATTATATTTTAATTATATTTGTATTGTAAACAAATTGTTGAATCCCCCCCCCAGATATTTGCTCTAGATCCGTTACTTGATTTGATATAGTATCTTATTAAATTATAAAAAAAATAGTAAAAAAAAAAAAATTACTAATAGGTTTAAAATCATTATTATTTAAAGACATTTAAATACCTACAAAGATTATTTGTAAAATAAGTTTCAAACTGACGTAAATATAATAGCTGCTAACAAAAAAATTAAAACAAAGTCGGTTTTTTGACTTCACGACGGGGTTGTATATATCCATATCTATTAGTATATTTTATTTTCATATTAGGGGCTCGGCACAGTGCTGGTTTTCCAAATTGTCTCAAATTTTGTCAAATTTAAAAATTATTTTATAATTACTACTTTAAAAATGGGAGTTTAACACTAATCTACTGACAATCATTTAAAGAAAGGGGTACGGCCATTTTTACGACCGCAAATGACTTTGTGAGGATTGAGATAACTTATTGTGAAACTAATATTCTTTTTCTATTTTTTTATTTATTTTTTTATTGATAGAACAAAATTCTACAGACCGAATTTAACTCCGATTTTTCATTTTCTTTTAAATACTGTTATAAAAAACTTAGTTAAAAAATATTTACATAAACCTTTTTTAAAAACATATTATAAAGTTTTAAATGGAAATATTGAAAGACGAAATTCAATGCGATCTTCCTGTTTTCACCACAAAAATAATCATCGAAATCAGACCACTTTATACGAGGCATGAGAGATTTTTCCGTAAGGCATGTTTTTAAGCCAAAAATGCGCTGGCACCGGGCCCTATCATAAATAGTTTCCAAGTTGTAGAATTTACACAGTTCTTTGATCAAGGGAAGTATATAAAAATTTAATATACGATTAAAAGCATGATAAAGGTGTTTCCTTTTTACTCGTAAGAATCTCGACTACTATAATTTAAAAGACCTACATTATTATTTACCCGGTAAAATTTTAAATTATATTATTGGTATAGAAAAGCGCTGCAGCAATCGGGTAATTTCAAGTGAATATTGAATTTTTTAATAAGTTTAATAAAATGAACTTTATATTTAATATTTTTTTTTTTATCATATAAATTATTAAATAGAAAAAAAAATTACTTTGATGATAACTGTAAATTAAACACACTTTTACGTACTTTCGTATGCAGGAACATATCGTTAAAAAAATTGTATCTAATGTTTGGATACACAATAATATGATGGAAAAAAAGTTAAAAGCTTCATTTGAAGTGAAAATAAACACTCAAATGATAGAATATATGGTTTTGTTTCAGGATTTTTATGTTTGATATTTATTAATTTTTTTTTTTTTTTTTGCGTTAGTAAATGAAAGAGCGTCTTATTTTACCATTTGATTTGTACAAATAACGATTTCTATACTATATACATTTTGTGTACTAGCGTTATATAAGAGTATTTATAATATTTTTTTGAAGGGTTGTTCAATCATCGTTTTCGTAGATTTCTTTTTTTTTTATTAAGTAGTAATGTTTTTCTGAAATCTGATCAACTTTAACTTATATATATATATGTTATATGTTATAACTGTATATATATATATACAGTTATTTCATTTATTTATTGTAGCTGACTGATTTACTATTATATTAACTAAAAGCATTTTATACGGGCGTTAATATTAAGTAGACATTTTTCGGGGAAGATTATTGGCTTAATACCTATATTATATATATGCTCATTAAACTTATGCGATCAATCGTTTTGTTGGATTTGTTAAAGTTTTACGAAGCTTAACATTAATACTAACTCTATATAGTACCTACTATAGATTCAAATATTATTAGACGGATTGCATTTCCGACGGGGTTGACGTTGAATATAAAAGCAAACGATTTTAATGTCTATCTATAGCATTATTTAGTTGTTCATTTAAAATTATTTTTATTTTTACCATACCTCATATCTTTCATTGTATAATATGGATATAACTTGAAATACAACTATATTTATAATATTTGATTTTTTAGATAATAAAGTAAATTATTAACCAAAATATTCGTGTGATTAAATTAACTAAAGTTAATTTATGGTTATTTCAATTATAGCAACTATTGTAAACAAAATTCCAAGTATCTAAGTATAAAGTGTAATCATTTTTATTAATCTTTGGATGATTTAAGAAAAAATAGAAACTTCATATACGAATTTAAGATTAAACCTATATTACGAGAACAAATATAATGCAAGCTCAGATGAGCTTATGAAAATGCAATCAATTTTTTAAGTTTTCAAACTAAAAAAAACACATTTAATATCGTTTGAGAATTACAAAAGGTATATCATATTATATTATATTCTTATTTTTCCCCCGAGAATACAAAAGATCTATAGATACTAACTGGGTACCTAACCAATACTGTTGTACGTTCGGCGCGTCATTTGAAAAATAATAGCTCTCTGTGGGGTTGCTTCAAATAAAACCATCAGAAATTCAAAAACGAACATTAAAATGAATTTTAATGTACAAATAAAATTGTAAATAAAAAATAAAATGATTTTTAAAAGTTTCAAGTTATAATAAAAACATTCAAAAATATTTCGTCGACAATTATTATCTATTGCTAATTATTAACTAATAAATTAGTTATCTATTATACTCAAACATTTGTTTAAACAAATTTTTACAATTTAGTTTTTTTTTATAAAAAATAATTTTCCTAATTCGTAGTTTTCGTTATTATAAAGAAAATAAATTTGAAAAATAAATTATTATCTAATAATTTTTATTCACTCGTTACAATAAACATAAATATATTATGAACAAAGAATAGTAAACAAAAATCAAGCCATATTTACAACTAGAAAAAAAAAACAAATCTTTGTATGACTACCAATAGCTTTTTCATTTGTACTCAGAATCTAAAATAAATAATTTTTATTATAAAATAAAAACTCATATTGTTAAATAAAATACTAAATCATTATATTTTAACTTTATAAACTCTTCAATAGTAGCTCTAATTTTTAAGTCCAACATAATTTTATCAAAGATATGCATTTATTTTTATTAATAGTATAAAATAAGCCTTAGATAGTTAGATATTATATTATATTATTATATTTAAAAAAACCAATACAAAACACCTTTTTTATTTATAAAATTCTAATTCATTTTCGTGATTTAGAGCAAATAAAATTATCATTTCATAAGTATATTATATTTTAGCTAGTATAAAAAAAAATTGTTTATTGTGAAATTCTTCTACTTAGATTACATGGATATTATGCGCTTGGTATTATATCTATGTTATCATCAATAATAAATTACTGTGGGTATTTTTACGTGACCGTTCCGAGTTCAAAATCAATAGTTGTATAGGGTGTAGAACGTTCGGTTCTCATCAAAATTATCGAAAATATTATTGACGGTGAATGAAAAAAAACCGATAGTAAAAACCATAATATACAAGTATTCGTAATAGAATTTTATAAATGACATTTTGGTTAATAAATCTCAAATAATTATTATAAGCAGCTAATATTAGGTAATACATAGGTATAAAAGGTATATAAATAAATAAATTGAAAAATACGTGTATTGGTTAATTCAAAAATTAAATTAAAAATAGTATATATCCTTATATTAACATGGTAACCTGATAGATTATTTTTGTCTGATTAAAATAAATCATTTTCATGTAAGTAAATTAAATAGCCCTATATGACGTATCCTACCTTACTAACGTCCTACCTAGAACAGTGGCACACCTATTTACAGTTTATAAACTCTCGAAATTAACATTGAAAACATTTTGATATGTACTGTTTTATTTGTAATCTTTGATGAGAAGGCCAAAAAAAAAAAAAAAAAAAAAACCTTACTAATATTTGTTCGTGAATTAGAGTGAATTTATCAAATAATTATATTTTAAACTCATTGGAAAACATATTAAGCGATAAAGCCCCGCAGTACACATTAATAAGCACTTGGGATATCTAATACGGATTTTTAAACGATAAAATGCAGCAACAAAAAAAAAAAAAATTGTTTTACTATTATCAAAACAGATTAATTTTCGTGTTCGTGTTCACAAAAAATAAGCAAAATCGATTAATTTAAACGACTTATCGATGTTAAATGATGACATAAATATTGTTCTAAATACTAATTCAAATCAAAATTTAATCAGATAATCAGATGTAATCTATGAATACCGCTAAATGAATATCAAGAATAAATTGTTGGGAGCTGAATAATGGCTGTAATAGAAAATAAAAGAACTCAAACAAGTCAAAAGTGACGGGACAGGTTTTATAAAACTTAAGTGACTTTACAAAAATAATTACAGGTTCTTCTTACACACTCTTGAAATTTAACTTAAACTCCGTTGATTAATAAGAAAACAAGAAAATATATAAGTTGAAACACTAATAAAAGTTATAAGGACATATTATATTATATAGTATTTACTTGTACAGTTTCATCATACTTTTTGACGAATAACGAATTCTCGTCCAAGTTCGTACGGTTTATAAGTATAAGACAGTTTTTTTTATTTAAAATACATTTTTACTTATTAATTTTATTTTATTTATGTATAATATTTTTTAAATACTATAAATATGTAAAATGCAAACAATTTCGTAAATTTAAGCTTTCAATTTAAAAGTTTAAATTTAAACATATTATTAATAATATCATTTATTTCGTGATATTATATTTTAGATTCTGAGCATGGTGAGGGAGCTATTGGTTTCACTAAAATGATTATTTATTATTTTTTTTCTAAACTATGGACACGTTTTTTCCTAGTAAAATTGCTTCAATTTTTACCTATAGCAACTTTTTTGAAAGCTTTAGTTGTCTAGAAGTCATTTTTTGATTTTTGACGCCATTTTCGAAATAAATGCACTTAACTGAGGAAAAACGTAGGAAAACGTACAATTTCATTGTTCAATTTTCATTTTCAACGTACATTATTTTATAAAAACAAATTTTCTATCAGAAAAAATGAATTTATCGAAAAATCACAAGATATCTTTTTGATTTAATTTTTACGGTATCGTCGTCAAAAATTTTGAGCTTTAAAAGAATTTGAATTTTTGGAAGTTTTTTGCTTTAATTTTGTTATAAATACACTTATAGAATTGAAACTCGGTGATAATACTTATATTGGACTTGCCTAGACGAGGTAAAATTTCCAAATTTCTTCGGACGACTTTTATTCCTTTTTTAAATTTTTTTACAATGGTACTTTTTTTCATATATACTGTCGACCACTTTTATCCTAGAAAACTTGCTCCGATGTATAAGTGTAGCACTATTTCTGAAAATCAATTTTATCTACTTGGTTAATACACATGCCATTTTTTGATTTTCAAAACGTTATTAAAATAAAAACGATTAACTAGAGGAAAAATACGATATTTTCACGATTTCGTTATTTTAAACAAGTATCTACCACGTTTTTTAGCACAAATATGACTACAATTGAAAAACGACAAAAAACCATATTTTTGTTGAATTTTTTTTTTTTGAAATCAAATTTAAATGAATCGAAATGATAATCGCGAAAATTCGTAGCACTTCAAATTATGTGTTACCGAACTGCGCTCTTTCGTCAGCAATGGTTTATCGTTGCTTAAAAATATAAATGAAATAATCTTATGTATCCTACCTTAACATGTGGGATGTTTTTTAACAGTGACTGCACCCGTCCCCAGTATCAGCTCTTATTTTACTGTTTAAATTTTTAAACTGTAATTGTTGATAACAAAATAGTTCTATTTTTCAAAATTTCAAATGAATCGTAAATTAGATTCGGAGAAAACGGCTTTTTACTTTTACACCATACGTGTATATTCTTTTATTGTTCCGAGAAAGATCTTTTTGAGGTAGCAAAAATTCTCAAAACGTTTTATCCGGCTCCACTCGTTTAATGTAATCGATAATATATGAAATTAAAAAATATGGTAGTTTAGGATTATGGAGGTATTTACATTTTCCGAACTTGCCGCAGTCAGATTGCCCCGCGAAAATCATGAACAAATGAATTGTCGAGAGAGGAAACATCTTAAAAGCGAACATTATAAAAACTAATCCAGTGAGCTCTAACACTCAGAATCTTTGAAAGAATAACGATTCATCATTCATTGCTTTCAATTTGGAAATAATAATAATAACGAAATATTTATGACTGCGGTTTATATTTTGAATAATCCGTTTGAAATAGAGTGATCTATTTAATGTAGATGCAAATTACTTACCTAAATATCTTCGTTTTTATTTTTCGAAATATAAATTTAAAAATTATCGAATAATCGGTTTGCAAAATGTGTTATTTACATGAACGTCATCATGTCAATTGATTATTTGTTTTCATTATCATTTTTTTATTGTTGGATCATTATTATTTTTTCTTCTAAACTAATATCCGATATGAAATTATAATGATTCGTAAAGACCATATACAAAGAATAACGATGGTCTCGTTAGTGATATTGAAGTGGAAACTTGCTGTTCGAGGCATTGCAAGACATTAACGAAAAGTGGTAAGCAGCAAAATACCTACCTATATTCTAAAACAAGCTTCTTTTGCCAACTATACAGTTTTTGACACATATATTGACGACTTTTTTTTCTACAACTGGAGACTCGTCTAAAAAACAACGCCTAGTCTGACGTTCCTAATTTATGTCATTTCATCAGAATTCCTTCATTTACAATACATTTTTCATTTCTACAACAATATTTTATTCGATGTTTATATTGTTGATAAATTCAACAGAAACATGAAACATGAGATAAGAACTAATCCATAACATAAATATTATTATCTAAAAATTAGATGAAAAATCATAAATTTTATTTTATTTTTATTTTATTATAATTATAATAATGATAAACTTCGCATTTATCTCTTGAATATTATATTAAAGTCTAAAAATGTGGATCGTTCTATAAAAGTATCTATTATTAGGTTTCCTTTCCATTCTGTCATTTTACTTTAGAAATCCTTAATATAGGAACACGATGATTTTATTTTCATACAACTATAATTATATTAATATATTCATAATCATAATACTATTATAATGTTAACATTTCTATCATAAAACACATTTCGTCCCATTACGATTCGAATAAATAAAATAATACGTGAGTATTTTATTTGTCATTGAGTAGGTATTTTTAATTTTTTTTATCCTTCATGTTTATGTTGTAGTAACATAGATAAGTATTCCTTTTCGAACTCTATTCGATATTTGTCCGTTTAATTTCAATATTGGAATATTTTATGCCCTATACCTATATGTGCTTTTTTCGTTGAACTCAAAATGAATAAAAATTAAATGACGTTTGGCAATTGGAAAATAACTTTACTTTAAAAACTCAGTGTGTGTTAAAGCGTTTGTTGCTTCATTCATAATTTACGTCTTGTAATAAACAATCAGAATAATGGCTTTTAAATGACTTCTCAAATAAACTCATATAAACCTATATAAACCTTCGAAAAAGCACAAGTTCAGCAAAAATAATAATATTTATATAGTTAATATTTTATACGTTTTAATTTAATATTCAAATAAAATTGATCCGAGTCGTAACTAGAATGAGACAAGCGAGACGCTTGGATTGGGCGCCTGGTGCTTAAGAAAAATTATTATTGACAATATAATATTTTTCATTACTAAGCATCGATCCGTAGATATAATTTTATATTCTTCATGTAAAATTTATCTTTGCATCAATTACTCGGTTATCACTTTACATTTATTAACAGTTGCAAGAGCTTACACTGATATCGGTTGTTAAACAATTGTCATTTATTATTAAACGGAATTTTCTCTCAATGCCCGTCACAACAGCTTTATGTGAAAGAAGTTTTAGTAAATTTAAATTGATAAAAACTTACTTAAGATCTACAATGATTCAAGATAGATTATCGAGCATGACCATACTTTCAATAGAAACGGAAATCGCTAATAAATTTGATTATGATGAAGTTATTAACAAATTTGCAAAAATAGCAAGGAAAATTCAATTATAAATAATAACTATTTTTAATTTTTTTAATTTTTTATTTTGAAATATCTAATAATTTGTGATTGTAAATTTCAAATTGATTTGTTTACTATAATAATATAATAATGCATAATAATATATTGGTTCTGATATAAGAATTGTTATATTAGATATATAAAAGACAAATTTACATTTGTATAAAAACAACACATACATACACTCTAGAGTGTAGAATATATATATATATATATATATGAGATTCTGTTATGAATCACCACGATAAAAAAAATGGGGAAGGAGTTGAGAATTGTATATTTGTCACTAAAAATTGTATTCCTTGTTTTGTTCGAAAAATAATTACCAATTTTCAGATTATTCTGACTATTTTTAAAAACTGAGTGTGTCACCCTCCTTCCTCCCACGCCACATCTTCGATGTCTCACTATTGGGACATCCCTGATTATGTTAGTTAAAATGATTATAAGGCGTATTACTAGAGCTTTAAGTAAATACTTAATATTATGAAATTTTGATGATATACCTACCAAAATAAAACTGTTTATTTTAGACAAATGGTAAGTAAATTATAATTAATATACTATTGTATATTTAAAGATACAATTTTTTTAAAAAAATCAATTATGTTATTAAAGACAAAATCTATGTGTTTTATTTTTTTAAGTTAAAGTGTACCTTTAAAAAGTGTAAGAATTAATAGATTGCTCGTCTGTTGATTTTATTTCAGTATCATAAAAGAGTATATAAAAATTAAAAATTAAAATCATAATTTATTTACATAGGTATTTCATTCAAACGAACCTATAGAATAATCATAATCTAAAAGGCTTTAGAAATTTATTATGGTATCGTCTGTAGCGTTTCCTGCACCTTAAAAAAAAACACTTAAAACTTAATTTAAATAACAATAGAATCATTAAAGAGATATTCTGGCGTGTCTCGATGGTCTTGACTTTAAAAAATATACCACTCAAGAATGCGAAAAATAATCTTTAGAAGTATTTTTATTTTTTTAAATGACATTTTTTAATTGATTTTTATGGGTCAGTAGATTTGTAGTTGAAATTAAAATATGAATACCAATATTCAAAAACCTCACAATACCTACCTATATCATTTGTTCGTTCAGTAAAACTATATAGGTATTTGTACTGCATTTTGTCCAATGAAGTGGTTTAATTAAATACAAACTTGAAATGAATACCCCCCTTTCAATAGAAAAATATATTTACTAAATAAAAAATATATTAATAGTATATAAAATATATAAAAATACATTTATTATTATACTATCGCTAAATAATTAAAATGATTAATAAGAGTAAGAAGTCACTTGCCCTACATTTAAAGTGTTAATTTTAGGTAATTTTAACAAGATGTTAAAATGAAAATTAATTAACTGTGGAAAACTACCGGGAAAATAAAAAAAAAGCCTTTCTAAAGTATCTCTACAGTCAAATTTCCTTTTGGAAAAAATGCTATTATTGTTAATCGAAGCAAAATTGCTGATATAAAAGTTGTCCACAGAAAAAAAAAACATTTTAGTAAAACCAATATATTTCTCGCTCTACTCAAAATCAAAAATGATAATAGTATCAAACATAAATACAAAATTAATTTCTGAGTTTTCACTTTGTTTTTTTTTTTTTAATTTTTTAGTAAGATATCTTTATATTTCACTTAAAAATTAAAAATAATATTCTTACCTGTAAATTTATTAGTAAGCTTTAATATTAAAACTAATAGCTCAAAATCAGTTCTACTGAACGAAAAGAGTACATTATTCAATTTTTAACATTAGCCGTAAGCCCGTAACATATATAAATTATCTATCATATAATATATCTAAATGGATAACTACGTACATTACCTAAATAAATATGTGTTCTTTAATAATTTATAGCTAACTACACACGATCAATTTAATTACGTATGATTAATCCTGATATTTAATTCAAAATGACGGAGAAAACGCTTTAATATAATTATTCGGTTTCATTATATATTTATAGATCTAAAATATTTACTAAGATATAGGCACCTAATTAAATTAACAATATGAAGTAATCCATTCCCTAAAATTATTTTCAAGATCCCTTATAAATAAAGGTGCGTATAATTAACTATAAGTAATCTAACTATTTGTTTAATGTTATTTTAATACCGAGAAGGTTTAACTCAAATAAATATCACTTATATTATACAGTATATTATTATACATTTTATTTATGTACTTAAATAGTATTAAATATAAACTACAACTCAATATGTACAACAGAATCACAATAATCTATTTACTGTTCAAAAAATGTTGCAAAACTTTTATTAATAAGAGTAAGTAGCCTTTACAGTACTTTATAATTGAATTTAATTATTTATATATACTTTTTAATCACTATAGGTACCTAGTTTGTTCAAACGATGATGGTACATTTAATAATAAAGTATATTCACTACCAAATAAAACTTTTATTAAATGTTTATTAGGTTTTAATAAAAAGTTCAGAACCCTTATAAGGGTTATAGTGTTCGTCTATCTAAAGTTCTAGCAATTCGTTACCCGGTATACGTTCTCGTTAATTAATCAACGGAATAATAAAATAAGTGATCACAAAGGAATTATGGAGGATGCAACCAGTAAATTTAAGTATGACTGCAGGATGAAGTGACATAAGTGTTGAGTAATAAAAGTATACATTAAAAGGATAAAAAGGAAATTTTCAAAAAATATGCTGAAAAAGTTTGATATGACTATAATGGGTGTGAGTAATGCCTACTATTATAGGATTATCGAAAAATTAAAAAAATTATCAAAAATAAATAGCCTAAAATTATTGAAATCCCGATATAATCGAGATTCTATAATTTATTTTTTGATTTAAAGTGTTTTGTGACAGCATAGAAGCTATAACACGAGATTCTTCACTATCAAATAGAGCCCAAAAATATATACAATTTATAAGGTAAACGATCACGCTCCTAAAAGCATTACATCCGTTTGTGTTTAGCATACAAGTTACTACGTCGACCGAATATCTTATATTGCCAATAAGTTATTTATATCACGTAAAATATTGAAATGGTTAGAGTCACGAAAAGTTGTCTCTCTTATTTCCCAGTGTATCGGGCGACACTCAAATAAATGATTCTTATTCCAATAACCACCACCAGCTCCCTGCAGTAAATTTTCAAACCGTATGACCAAAAATGATTTTTCGTTTTTATTTTGTCCTATAGGCTTTTCGAAGAACATCAAGAGCTTCTCCAATTATTCACGAAATTTGGTGAACTAAAAACTAGAGACGCACAGGCCAACAGCATGGAGCTGGCTGAACATGCTAACAAAGTGATGACTACATTGGACGAAGGCATTAAAGAACTGGACGATCTAGACAGCTTTTTCCAGTATCTAACTCAAGTGGGTGCTACACACAAGAACATACCGGGTTTCAACCCGGACTATTTTTGGGTAAGTACACAACTTTACCGTATTCCTACTTTCAATATACAGGGATTAAAATCGATTACAAAATGTATGTCAAATAAGCTAAAATTTGTTGAAACCTACAACTGAGTTTACCTAATTTCGTCATAATAAATATCAACAAATTTGCTTACATTCATCTTTAATACTAATGTGTGCATGTTATTTTATATTTTATTTCCTTTGCATTATATTAACGAAGAAAAATGGAATTTTATAAATAAATTCGCTTATTTAAAAACATTTGATTTTAAGGTCACTTTGGGAAGTTCATAATATCATTTATTCATAACATCATTTATTATAAATTACATGGCTATCATTATCTAGAAAACTTAGGAAACTTACTTGAGCTATCTTAATACATTTAAAATGTTTATAGCTACACAGTAAACACGATGAATAGGCACGATACAAAATGGAAATTAGTATTAATGATAAACTGTGTGATCATTTTTTTTGTTTACTAGAAAATCATTAAATTCAAGTCATATTACAAGTGATTTCTTATAAATTCAATACCTAAATATTTTTTTCTAGTTAAAATGTATACTGAACCAAAGTATTAACGAAACACCATGAATAATAATTCAAAAAATAAATGAAAATAATATCCAAGTAATTGGGATTTTTTTAAAAGTTAAATATATTTTTGATTATGCAAACGCTATAAGAAAAAATAAATAATTATACTTTTTATAAAACCAAGTCAAATTGTTTTACTTTTAAATTTAATGATGAATAATTTCCCTTTACATAAAATATAGAATTAAAATTCGTGAAATACTCAATACTTCGAAAGTTTTAATAGTATTCACATTACTAAAAAGATCACGATTTATAAGAATATGCATTTTTCTCATTCAAAAATAATTTTAAAAATCGTGAAAAGCATTTCAGTGTACCTAGAATTGCAGTTAAAAGTTGTATACGATTTTATAGAGGGTGTCCTACAGTGTTATCCTTATGCCTTTAACTGTCAATGTTAATTTTTTTTTTCAAACGGATCCTATGCGAGACATATGCAGATAAAAATAAAAATTGTATTTCCATCTCTTAACCACTGAAAATTTATTTTTTATTTTAAACTTTTTAAAATTAATTAGCCATTATTTAAATGGCCATCTTGTAAAAAATATTGTTCTAAACATTTTATTGCATCGTACATTCATATCCGATTAATAGTTTCTTAGTTATAGTAGCTTTAACGTATAAAAAATATGCGTGAAAACAATTAATATTTTAATTATATATAATATATTTTCTTAAAATATATATATATATATATATATATATATATATAAAATATATAATATTTATTTAAAATTGTACCGATTTTTCTGGTTTTTCATATTTGCTGGGAAAACTCTTTGGAAAATCGAGTAGCTTCTCAGTAAGATTTTGTTGCAGAAAAAGTGCTATCATTATAAATTAAAGGAAAATTGCTGGTAGAAAAGTTTTTCACAGGAAAAAAGAAGGCCGAAATATTTATTACTAATACCTACATTTTGTACATTTTCCCGTTTTTCCTCCGTTTTTTTTCGGTTTTTCACATTTGTTAAATACTCCTAGGAAAATCAAAAAAATACCTTCCTAAAGTAACTTTACAATCGTATTTGCTTTCAGAAAAAGTGCTATCATTTTAAATTGAAGCGAAATTTCTAGTAGAAAAGTTGTACACAGAATAAAAGGTCATGATATTTTTTAATAATACCTATATTACGTATATTTTCCGTTTTTACGACATCCCGGTTATATCCCAGACATATCCCGGTTTTTCCCAGATATTACGAAAACCGCTTGAAAAATCAAAAAATTACCTCCCAAAAGTACCATTTAGACAATATTTCCTTTCAGAAATGGTGCCGCACGTATATGTCTGAGCAAGATTTCTGTTATAATTTGTGTACACGATAAAAAAAAGGAAAAAAGAAAATAAAACATCTTAATAAAACCAATACATTCTTCGCTACACTCAGAATTTAAAATGAATATTGACAAATTTATTAGCATAAGGATAGTTTAGCCTATTGAGAAATCACTAAAACCCATCTGTACTTTAATAAAAATGTGTTTGTGATTATTTAAAAAGTAAAAGGATAAATACGAAAACGTAATAGAAATGCTGAAACCGTTTAAATTGAACATTAATAAATTTCACAATATAGTTAAACTTACTCAAAAAAGAAAAGTTGTTATAAATTTCCTCGAAACAGGCGACATCTGTTACACCTATTTACATTAAACGAAACATAAATAATCCGGTTGAACATTTAATCTACAAAGAAACTTTAACAATATAACATACATACTCTAACTATAATTTCCGTGCCAATAAAAAGTTATATAGGAACATGTAGGTAGGTAACCTAATAAACTTTTCAATCAATCAAAAATATTTAGGAAATTATATAACAATACAAAAAAAAAAAAAAAAAATACTATAAAACTATTGGATAAATAAAAACATACATTTTTTCCTACTTAATTCAATGATTCAATTATTATAAATATCTAATTGAATGGTGATAAATCGCCTTTTGCTTATGTTTCTTTGAACAGCAACAATTCAAAATAATACAATTAATATAAATTGTAATGTAAAAACTTGGCATTTTTCGTGGCTTTTTATTTTATTATTATTTTTAATAATTTACATCGTCTACTATTTTACAGATCAATGAATAATATGTTGAACTCACATAATATAAAGCAATGTTCCTTTATATTTGGTTTTAATAAAATGGATGAACTAATGTTTGTTCATTAAATGGTACATATGAAAATAACTTAAACTCTTTTATAGTCGCTGCCCTTAAAGTATAAATTATTTTAGGGTTGGTTCTATCAACAAAATTAAATTGCTTCATTTCTTATAAATATTAAAATATAATAAAAATGCAGTTTTGTTATTTTTCCTATCAATTCATATTTTAGACGTAAATTTAATTAATTATAGTAAACGTTTGATTAAGTCTATTTATAAGATATTTGTAATAAATATTGTTGTTTTATAAAACTCAGGTTTTTATTACCATAATTTATTATATTTATATGTAAATCAATTTATTTAAATTAAAAACATTGCGTTCTACATCGAGAGTTTAAAACTATTTCTGAATTGTTTTCAATATAGAATATCAAAGTTAATAATTCAACTAAATATAGGTAATTAAAATAATTCATCATTTTCCACGAACACTATATTTTACAAAAACGTTCTTTTTAATATTACTTTTTTATACGTTAATTTTGAGATATAAATTGTATTCGCATGTCGATTAAAAACCAAAAATCAAAAATATCCATCGAAAAAAGAGATGTATAATTCCATATATTATATACATGATAAATTACAATCCAACCCCAACTGCTTGCCTGGTATGCTATTAAAGTTGACGACGTGTCGTCCAAATATGTTGTAATTCGAAAAAGGTGACGAGTGTTTTCGGGGTTGATAAATTTGTTGGGGCGAAAGCAATAGAAATCGTTTTGGGGACACATATCAATGGTAGGTCCATTGTTTTTAGTTGTTCTTCGACACAAAGCAATCAACTGGACTCTGTGATTTGTCGGCACAATTAAATACAATATATTTCATAGGATATAATATAATGACTCGACAATTTATTTAATGTTCCGTACAAATCAATTTTAACGTCTAGTCAATCATGCAACGCACTACTGCATTAGTCGATAGCCAATGAAGACAATTTCGTGGAATAGTGAGAATTTCAAAAAATTTAAATGCACCTCACTGTTCAATAATTAATTATCATTTCGAGCGGGTAACGTTTAAAATTAATTGCATACAAATCAATTGTATATAGGTAACTAGGTATTAAAAATTGACAAATAAAAATATAAACTTGCTACTTGCAAGTTGGCACAGATCCTAAAAATAATTTATTGATTTCTTATTTACCAGTGTTGTAAAAAGGATAAAGATACATTTTAACATATCTAGATTTTTCATAAAGGTGATGTGATTGATATAACTTATTTATTAATTTATTAAAACATTTTAATATAAATTAAATATTTAACCAATTATTTTTTTACGATTTAAACAAATTTATCTAAATGATTCAATAATTATCTTAGATAACAAGCTCAGCTAACTAATTTCTCATTTATCTATATAAGATAAAAGATAAAAATTGACTTGTCTAGATAAATGCATCTACATAAAATGTAATACTGCTTATTTCATGTTATATTTAAACTCATTTAACGAATACGTGGGAAGTTATAGATAAAAGCCATTAGCCTACAATAAATGCCATAGTATATACGGCAGTCCCAACTGCCAATAATGTATGTTCATATAACAAATTGAGATAAATCTGACTTATAACACTTAACACACTAAATATTATATTGACATGCAATCAACCAACATTGACTAGATAAAGGCTGACACAACTGTGATGGATGATGGAAAAGAACAGACCTAACAAAACACTAGATAATCACGTTTGTGAAACTCAGAACCATCAAATATGAACTCACACGGGTAGTACGAGTATGTGTGTGTTACGTTCGAAAAAAAATCATACACTGAATTAACTATCTAATAACGCACATAATATGGTGATGTTTTTAATAAAATATATGAGCATTACTTAAGAATCTTTGACGATTGTAAACAAATAGAACAATATTTAATTTGTCAAATCAATTAAATCGTTATTAAATAGATAATAGATTTAATAAAAATCAGCTTGCATCAAATACTGAAATTAAAATTTACATTTTAATGAAACATAATGAGTTTAGTTCAGTTTAGTTGTTTAAATTTTTTGAAATTGATATTTTACAGGATTTATAGTTATTATGTTAATTAATTGGATTAAGTATAAAATATTTCCAAAACTCTACCTATATTTTTTTTTGTCTTGAAATTTGTATACCTATAGGCTATACCTAAACGTCACATTTGTTTTCGTTTAACATAATATAATAAAATATTGGTTTATGTATACACAATACATATATATGCTTTAGACTAAGGAATTAATAATTTCCAAAAAAGCAAAAAGAATTAGAGCCAAATATTAACGTAAATAATTGTTTTCATAAACTATACAATATAATATATTCTTTAACCTTTTAATTTAAAATATTTCCAGTAAAAATAACTAATTCTGTAGTGTAAGTAATTTATAAAAAATAAAACAAGTTACCGCTTTATTTGAATTGTATACAATTATTTTTGTGTCAGACATTATTGTATTTGTATTTTTTTTTTTAGAAAATTGAAGTGCCATTTTTAGAAGCAGTAAAAACTACTTTAGGTGATCGGTTTACGGAAAACATCGAGACAATATATAAAATCACCATTAAACTCATCATAGAGACGTTGATAAAAGGATTTACGGAATCGCCCGGACCATAAAAGCCTATATATGAGTTTAATGAAATCGTATAGGCATTCCAAATTCCATATCAAATACAATGTACAAGTGACCGAACATAATTATAATAATATAATATTCCGCTGTGTAATAATATTATTATGATATTAAACTTATAACTCTTATCAAACAATATGTCATTTGGAAATTAACTTTAAAAACAATGTTAAGCTCAAATTTAATTAACTGGGCGCAATTTGTATTAAAATATGTCATAATGTCAATTTGATTTTCAACGTGTACCTACATAAAAAAAAAAAAAAAAATCATATTTATAAAAAATATACAAACGTGTAATTATTATTGTTATTGATTGTTAATTGGCTATTATTATTATTTATTACTTAATATAATATTAAATCAATAATTGTATAAAAGAACATTGTCTGTTATATATAAATATATATAGCAACTAATAGATATCAAATATAATATATATATATTAGACAAGCGATTATTTCGAATTGAGTTTTTTATTTTTTATACATATTAAATTTGTGTTTAGAAAACGTAATAATAATAGTAAGTATGGAATTATTACAATCGTTACGTGAGCATTTGATTTCGTTAGTATCTGCAAGTGAGTTAAAATATTAATAATACTTATTTTTATTTTTGCATACGAATTCCTTAATACAAACGGGACAAAATGTTTAAATTTTTCAAAAAAGCTAAACAAAAAAAAATCCTCGAGCACCAAAAGTTTTACAATAATATTTTATAAAATAATTTTAAAATCGTATATTATTTGCTTATATAACTTAAATTATGATGATATTTAACATTATAACATTAGTTATTGGTCGGACACGGATTTAAATGCACTTAAAATCTACAAACTAGCAGTTAAGAATGGCAAAAATGCCCTGAAAAAAAAAACCTAAAATAGTAGAAGAGTTTAAAATTCTCCTAACGGCTATAAAATATTAAACATTATTTTTTAACACTACAAAAATGGTTAACACAGTATTTTTTTTTAAAAATAAAATTGTGCGTATAACGAAAAAAATCACTTGTGTTAATCATTTTTTTCAAAATTTTTATCATGTTCGAAAATTGTGTTCAATAAATTAGATCCGATAAAGAAAAGACTCTACCTCTCTTTGGCTTTTTTAAATATTTTTAGGGCTATTTTGTGAATTTAAGTGCATTTAAATCCAGACTCTAGCTATTATTTATTAACGTAAATTTTTGTTTTTCTCTCTTGGAAAATTTAAAAATTTGAAAACACGCATTTAGCGATTCATATAAAATATTATAACGACAATACTGCTAAACACAATCGTGCACACATATTCGTATTTACGATGCCAGCTGCTACATAAAAGCTTATTCGTAATATGTTTCGCGTGCGTCGTAAAATATTGTAAACAACAAGGTGTGTGTAACTCAAAAACTTTATAGACGGAGAAGACCAGAGTGTTTGTACACAGATTGTTGACCACTTGGATGATCTACAGCGACTCCACGAAAAGTTGGTAAGAACGGCAGAAAGTGACGTCGGCCGAGAAGACCCCAAAACGATCGAAAGTAAACAAAAGGGTATTTTAACAATGTCAACACAAAAAGGTTCTTTGGCCACACCCCGTGAAGCCGCAGGACCTATAGCCTCATTAATTTCCCTCAAGGGTTATATACCACAGTGACCGATTTTTCAAACTTTTGTTGTCGGGATAAAACGTATTTCCAGAGGCTTGACATTACTGTACATACTCTACCCCGATATCCGCCACATTATACTACAAAATAATAAATAAAAAAAAAAACCAATAATCTTGTCCATGTCACTGCATAATGATGAATGGTATATATTATAGTTTAAAATAATAATAATAATAAAAATCATTACCGAACTAATATTTCTAAGATCATCCAATATTTTATTTCGTCATTATTTTATTTATTTATAGCTAAGTACGCCAACGGAAAATTAAACCGGACAATTCCAAAACATTTAGACAACTGTGGCTTTAATAATATCCACAAATTTTAACTATAATATAAAACTTATGAAAAATTAAATTACCATAGAAACTATACGAGTACAAAAAATTGTATTATAAAATTAATAAATTTGATAAATAAACTATACGAAATACAACCAAAAGAAAAATATTGATTAATTATTAATATATAATTCCTTTAATTATATTTAGCACAATACACAACTTTTCAGTAAAATCATATAGTCTATTTTACATTGGATCACTCTATAAATAGTAGAACTTCAAAAATCACAGACAAATTAAAAGTATAGATAAAATTACATTAAATTTTAAACAAATTTCAAATTGCCTTCATTTTAATAATTATAAATATGTATAATATATATAATACATTTAAATATTCTTTTGTACCTAATGATTTTTAATTTTTTTAAATATAATAATAATATTTTGGTTTATCGCTAACTAACTATTCGTATCAGCATATAAAAAATCAATACACCATTTTCAATTTTGATAAATATGATTTAGTAAATAAACGTAATATATGATTCGTAAAAAAAAAAAATACAAATTGTATATTTTGAAAGATCGTTTTTAAGTTTTTACAAATAGATATACTGAAATACTAATTATTTAGGTAAATACTAAAATACAGATTAGTAGAAATTTATATCAATAATATTACTTTCAATATTAATTCAGTGTGAGTAAATTCACAATTTGTAAAATTGTACATTAGATACATAAATGCATTCTACTAAATTGTCTTAAACTAGTTCAACAGTAATCCTATTACACACTATTTAAGAGGACACAGAGGACACAAGTACAAATCTGGGAAAGTTCTCATATCAATTTTTTTTAAATTAAATGTGTGATGTTAACCTATACAAAATAAACAAATATAATTAGTTTATCTATTTACGACTTTATAAAAAGTAAAATTTATGTAAGTTTTTTTGTAGGAGGTAAACTTTTAAACAGCTAATAAGAGATTCTGAAGACTATTTTGCTGATATGAAGTTACAATATTTCAAGGGTGACATTTAGGTTATTTTAATTTTTTTTTTTTGTTCAATATTTTAAGTGAGCAAAGCTGTGAGAGACAGCTAATTTAAACATATTAATTAATTTGAGTATCTGAGTTATACATTTTCAAGAAAATGATAACTAAATAAAGTTAAAAGTAATTTTTAGATTCCGAGCATAGTAAGGAAGCTATTGATTTTTACATTTCATTTTTTTTTTTTAGTCTGTCGAGACGTTTTTTCCTAGTAAACTTGCTCCAATGTATAAGTGTAGAACCTTTTCTGAAAACTCAAGTTGTCTAAATGGTACTTTGAAGAGAAATAGATCATTTTTTTGAATTTCAACACAATTTATTAAATCAAAACACTTAAGTAAGAAAAAACGTAGTAAAACGTACAATTTCACAATTTCATTATTTTATAAAAACACGGACGTTTTCCAACAGAAAAAATGATTTAATAAATATATCATATAATATACAATATAATACAATATAATAAAATATACATAAATATAATTTAATATCATGAGATACCTTTTTTGATGCCTTTTTGATTTACTTTCTTACGGAATTATTTCCAAAACTTTTGAGTAAATTTTTGAATTTTAAAGGAATTATAATTTTTGGGAGTTTGTTTATCCTAGTTAACTTCAAATTAAAAAATGAACCTTAACTTAACTTTTTATTGCCCAATTTCACATGTACACGTGCATTTGATGCCTGTTTGTTTTTAACAGATGACATTGGAACTTTGTGTTTGGCTGAACTAATTTTGTGTAATTAGTTTTAATATAAGAATGAATTTACCTATTATCAAACTTAAATGGAAGAGCATCTAAGTGTTTATGTTGATTTTTCGTTATTTTAAAATTTAAACGAGACATAAGTATGTGCAATATCACAATTTAAAACTGTATATATTTTGCTACAAAATTAAAATATCGGAAAAACCAACTTACAAATATTTACAATAATAAAATCAAACGCACAAAATAAGTTCGGCTGCATGTGCATATGCTATGTCTCACATTTGTAAAACAAAGACAACAAATGCATGTGTTGCGTTCTCTTAAGTCGAAAACTTACATAACAAACATAAAGATAAAATTTGTTTAAAACTTCAAATTTGGTAAGTATTATTAGTATTAACCATAAATAAATAATAGTAAACATTGTATTTCGTTATTAACGTAACTATATAAACTATAATAGTATAATATAATATCTTGTCTACGCTTATATATAGTATATAGTATAGGTATTAAATATAAAATGTGATCTTAACATAATTATAATAAAATAAAACTCAGTTAGTAATAATAGATTATAAACGAGGGTGGCGGAGTTATTGGCGAGTACAGACGGCGAAGTTGTGCGAATTTTTTTTTATCCCGTAATCTGTCGATGAAGTTCACATACGTCCTATTATACATACATACTCTATAGCGTCCGTGACCACCGAGTCAGATCGATTTTATCGTTTTTACTTTGAAACACACGAATATCTATAGGTGAACTACGTGCTCGGTATAAGCTGAAGACAAAACGTGACCGCATCAAACATTGCTTTTTTCTCTGTTGAACCCATTTTTGAAGGAAATTATTTAGTTTCATGCGAAACTTTATCAATAGATAGATAATTCCAAATACAATAAAATCGATTTAAGAGATGTTTTTTCGCAATTCTATAGTAAACAGAAATTAAAATGAAAAAAAAACCGATTCTAATAGAAGTTCGATCAAACATATTTTGAAATCATGCCGTATTTTCATGACTTATCAACATTTGAACTTTAAACGCTTATACAAATACTATATAAATACAAAAATGTGTTCAACTATTATTTTACCATTAAGGAACACTTATGTTAAACATCATGTTAAATTGTAGAGCATTTTTAAAGGAGAAAAACAATTGTATACACATAACCTAAATAGTAATCACTATAAAAGGTACCACGTCTAGAGTTGAGGAGTATTAAAGTACTCAGTAAAAATCGTTATCTACGATTATGATTACTAATATGTTTACTAAATTACAATAATAGAAAATATAAACTCGGAAATAACAGAAACTTAACCTATCCCGTTTATCATAAATTAAAAAATCTACAAGGAAAATCAAAAAAAAACATTTTCCCCAAAAATCACTTTTAAAATGTATGATTCGAGGAAGTTTACTAGAAGAAAAATTGTTTAAAGACAAAAAAAAAAGACTGAAATACTTCGCATAATTTATGGGCCACTAATTCAGGTGAGAAGTTAGGAAGGAAGAGAAAAAATTTAATGTATATCTGTATGCAACAATAAACCATGGCTAACAAAAAAACGATTCTGAGTAGAGTTTGGTTAATAGTGTTCCTTTGATAACAATATAAATGTCATTTTATGGAAAAATAATCACATCTACATTATATATTTTCTTTCGCTTTTATTTGGTAGGTACTCTGTGAATACAATTTTTAGGCTCAACAGAAATACTTGAAAATTTGACAGGAGATTAATTATGAATCATAGTAAGTGGTAATAAAAAAATGAGTGTAATGTACTAAGTATTTTTTTTTTTTTTAAGATTCAAAGTCAAATTTTGATGAGAATTGTAAATATTACAGCTTTTCAAAACATTCGTATAACCAAACTTCTCTCCGAATCGTTTATCGTTAGCAATGGTTTATCGTTACTTACAGGTATAAATTAAACAATTTTATGTATCCTAGCATTCCGACTTCTTCGACTAAAATAGTAGCGTACCCGTCCCAAGCATCAGCTTTTTTTTTTTTTTTAACTATTTAATGCAACAAAAACTTATCTTTGATCATTTCCAAGGTATCGTTAATGAATTTCTAAGACCTTCTACAGGTTTTATTATTAAACTAAGAGACTTTCGATTATTTTTCGAATCACGTTCCATATAATTTTATTGATAATTGTGGCAAATCGTCCCGTTTTTCGTAAAACTATAATCTATAACTGTGCACATAAATAACAGATCTGTTACAATTAAATCGACAAACACATACATTTTATCACTCTTCAAATTTTACATTCATTGAGATTTGAGTTGACTTTAGAATTATACAATTTTTCTAAATACAGTGAAACCTCCCTTAAAAGACACTTTCAAATAGCAGACGTTTTTTCAGGAACGGGCACATTTTCACTATTTATGCATAGGAAAACCTCTAATTACAGGAGACTCTAAATAGTGGATACATTTTTAATTAAGAATAATTTTAGAATACCTAAATAAAAGTCTACACTACCAAGCTATCTTTTATTACTATATATGAAGATTATTATACTGTACATGACTTATATCTTCTATTATCCGTCTAGTCGTTGACATATTATCACGTCGATGAAGTGTTGTAATTTTAAGATGTATTTAATAAATGTACAAATAAAGTAAAATAAAATGTATTTAATTAATTCATTTAATAAAAATACAATTTCTCCGTCTAAATAACGAACACCTCTGAATAGTGGACAAAATGTCAGCGACCGAGAGTGTCTGGTATTTAAAGGTTTCACTGTATAATAATATTATTGCAATTACGTAACATACTTTGATTAAATTGAAAAAAAATCATCATAAGAAAAATGCTCATGAGCGCTTATTAGTTTATTACTTTTAGAGCAAAATGTTTTTTTAATAAGAAAATAAAAA